GTAACTATTCAGATTTTAATATGAGGAGTTAAAATATTTTTCCCTCTAAACTTTTATGGTATCAGAGCCGTAGGTTTAGCTTTTCTTTTCTGCCATGGCCGAAACCACTGAAATCAACCCAAATGTCTCTATTCAGATCACTACCGTCAAACTGAATGGCAGAAATTTTTTAGAATGGGCCCAGTCAGTGAAATTAGCTATTGATGGACGGGGAAAGCTTGGTTTTTTAACTGGTGAAGAACCACAGCCAAAGGAATCTGATCCCCTGTTCAAAAAATGGAGGTCAGAAAACTCCTTAATCACCACATGGCTTCTCAATTCCATGGAGGAGTCAATTAGGAAACCTTATTTGTTTATGTCAGCAAAACAAATATGGGATGCTGTCCGGGAGACGTACTCAGATTTGGAAAACCATTCTCAGGTGTTTGAGTTGAAGACAAAACTATGGAACGCTAAACAAGGAGATGTCGATGTTACCTCTTTCTTCAATCACATGCTAACCTTGTGGCAGGAACTCGACATGTGTTACAACGAGGAATGGGAGAGTCCCAAAGATTTAGCAAGGTTAAAAAAACGTGAGGAAACTGATAGAATTTTTATGTTTTTAGCAGGAATTAATTCAAGCTTTGATGATGTCAAAGGAAGAATACTTGGACGCCGGCCACTACCCTCAATCCGGGAAGTTTTTTCAGAGTTGAGACAGGAGGAAAGCCGAAAAAGGGTAATGGCAGGATCATTCTCACACAACAACGACCTTGATAGCTCTGCCCTTATCACAAGGAACACTGAAGCCGAATCTGACAAAAAGAAGAAACCGTGGTGTGAGCATTGCAAACGTCACTGGCATACCAAGGAGACATGCTGGAAGATTCATGGCAAACCACAAAACTGGCAGCCAAGTTGGAAGAGGAAACAGGAGGGAAACAAAGCTATGAATACCACCTCTGAGACTTCTACAGAGCACAAGTCTACTTCTGGAAATTCCAGTCAATTTCCATTCACTAATGACCAGATTGAGCAACTCTTGAAACTCCTAAAATCTCCACATGATCTTCCATCATGTTCCTATGCAAATCAAGGTAATTATGGATCTTGTTTTTCAACCCATAATATGGAACCGTGGATCATAGATTCCGGTGCCACCGATCACATGACAAGCTTTTCGCATTTGTTCCACTCTTATAGCCCATGTGCAGGAAACAAGAAAATAAAAGTGGCTGATGGATCGTTCTCAGCCATTGCCGGAAAGGGTGAAATCAGAATTTCACCATTCTTAAAGCTGAAAGACGTCTTACACGTCCCACGATTGTCTTGTAATTTACTGTCAGTCAGTAAATTAACTAATGACCACAATTGTCGAGCTAATTTCTCTCCATTTCACTGTGTATTTCAGGATATGGCATCGAGGAAGACGATTGGCAGTGCTAGACTCAATGGCGGACTCTACTATTTTGATGATGGATCCCTTCAAGCAAATTCAGTTTCTAATTCTGATTTAGGTGCTAGTTCTAATTCTGGTATGAATAATGTAATGCTTTGGCATTTTAGGCTAGGACACCCAAGTTTCTATTATTTAAAACATTTGTTTCCAAATTTATTTTTAAATAAAGATCCATCATCTTTTGTGTGTGAAATTTGTGCCATGGCAAAAATGCATCGATCTCCTTATGTGCCTCGCCCATATTCTCCGTCAAAACCTTTTTCACTAGTACATAGTGATATTTGGGGGCCCTCAAGAACTCCCACTATCATGGGAAAACGATGGTTTGTAACTTTTATTGATGATCATACAAGAATGACATGGGTATATCTTATGAAAACAAAATCTGAAGTTGAGATCATTTTTAAAACCTTTTTTAATATGGTTTGTACTCAATATGAGACTAAAATAAAGGTTTTAAGAAGTGATAATGGTAGGGAGTATTTTTCAAAACTGTTGAGTAATTTTTGCTTGGAAAATGGAATAATTCAACAAAGTTCTTGTGTAAATACTCCTCAACAAAATGGAATTGCTGAGAGAAAAAATAGACATCTTCTTGAAGTTGCACGTGCACTCCTCTTTACAAACCATGTACCGAAAGTTTTTTGGGGTGATGCAATTTTGCATGCCACGTTTTTGATAAATCGTATGCCATCAAAAGTTCTGAAATTTGACACACCAATAAACAATTTTTTGAAGGCTTTTCCTCAATCTCGGCTTCAATCCCACCTTCCATTAAAACTATTTGGCTGTACCGTTTTCATTCATAACAAAGATCTCCATCACGACAAATTTGATCCAAGAGGAAAAAAATGTGTTTTTTTGGGATATTCTCCCACACAAAAGGGGTTTAAGTGCTATGATCCTCAAAAGAGAAAATACTTTGTCACATTTGATGTTCAATTCCTTGAAAATCAATCCTTTTTTAGGCCTCATCTTCAAGGGGAGAACACTAGTGCAGATTCGACCTTAGGGGGAGGGGGAGAAAAAAATTCAGTCTTTAGTTTTGAGCAACACCAAGGTTTGTTCTTTCCTATTCCCGTAATTGATAGTTCCACGTTAGATTCCGACTTTGTCGAAAAATCAAACACTGAAAATGACTTGAATGTTCTTTCTAAAAATGTCTTTTCTGAAAATCAAAATCTGCCTAATGAGTCTCCAAGAAACCGAGCCATTAATCAGTCAGATTTCCCTCAAAATTGTCAGTTTTTTCAAAATGACACATTGGAGGAAAATAATGATTTAAATAATGAAAACTTGGTCCCTGAAATCAGTAGTCCTACTACAATTGGAAATAAGACTATAAATCGTTTTGGAAAAGTATTTTCTCGAAGGGAATTAAAATCAGGAGTAGAAGCCAATATTGAGCTTCATGGCCAAGAGACAACCCCAATGACAGATCACGAAATACCAGGTACTGATTCTTCCTCTTCAGATCTTAATATTCCAATTGCCATTAGAAAAGAAACAAGGGAATGCACTAGGCATCCACTGTATCCTATGTCCAAATATGTTTCTTACAAGAAATTATCTCCTCAGTTTCATGCTTTTGTCTCTAAACTTTCTCATGTGGAGATTCCAAAGGATATCAAAGTTGCCTTACAGATTCCTGAATGGAAAGCAGCTGTTTTGGAAGAGATGAATGCTCTGGAGAAGAATCGGACTTGGGAAATAGTGGAGTTGCCAAGGGGAAAGAAGACAGTTGGCTGCAAATGGGTGTTCACCATCAAGTTCAACTCGGATGGATCATTGGAGCGATACAAGGCCAGATTAGTTGCCAAAGGATTTACACAAACCTATGGTATTGACTATTCTGAAACTTTTGCTCCTGTAGCCAAACTAAATTCAGTGCGAGTCTTGTTGTCCATTGCAGTGAATCTGGATTGGCCATTACAACAACTAGATGTGAAGAATGCCTTTCTGAACGGTGATCTAGAAGAAGAAGTGTTCATGAATGCTCCCCTGGATTTGAAGATAAATTTGTGAATAAAGTTTGCAAACTGAAAAAATCCCTCTATGGCTTGAAGCAGTCTCCTCGGGCCTGGTTCAAGAAGTTTACCAACTCAGTCAAAAGGCAAGGATACTTGCAGTCACAAGCAGATCACACAATGCTTTTCCGAAGATCACAAGAAGGAAAGATTGCAATCCTTATTGTGTATGTTGATGACATAATTGTGACAGGTGATGATGTGCGAGAAATAAGCAGATTGAAAAAGTGTTTGGCTGAGGAATTTGAAATTAAGGACCTTGGAACTCTCAAGTATTTTCTAGGGATGGAATTTGCAAGATCTAAAGAAGGAATTGTAGTAAGCCAAAGGAAGTATATTCTAGACCTTCTCAAAGAAACGGGTATGAGTGGGTGCAAACCAATAGACACTCCTATTGATCCAAATGTTAAACTTGGAAAAAGTGAAGGGGATCAAGTTGATACAACTAGATATCAAAGGCTTGTTGGTAGACTAATTTATCTTTCTCACACAAGGCCTGATATAGCTTTTGGTGTGAGTTTGGTGAGCCAATTTATGCATACTCCTGGGAAAATCCATCTTGACGCTGTTTATCGGATTCTTAGATATCTTAAGGGTTCACCTGGAAGAGGACTATTGTTCAAGAAGACCAACAACCGGGCCATTGAAGGATATACTGATGCAGATTGGGCGGGATCTATCACTGACAGAAGGTCTACTTCAGGCTATTGTGGTTATGTACGGGGTAATTTAGTTACATGGCGGAGTAAAAAACAGAGTGTAGTAGCTCGCAGCAGTGCTGAAGCGGAGTTTCGAGCTATGGCAAACGGTTTATGTGAAATAATTTGGCTGCAAAGAGTGCTAGAAGACTTGAAACTGAAACCTGAGGGACCAATGAAGCTATACTGTGACAACAAAGCCGCCATCAGCATAGCCAATAATCCTGTCCAACATGATCGAACCAAGCATATTGAGATCGACCGTCATTTCATTAAGGAGAAGTTGGAATCAAGAGCTATTTGCTTACCATTTGTGCCCACAGCACAACAAATGGCAGATGTTTTCACTAAAGGGCTTTTTAAACCAGGGTTTGACTCATGTATAAGCAAGTTAGGTTTGAAAGATATTTTCCACCCAACTTGAGGGGGAGTGTTAAAATCCGAAATCTGTATTTATGGGAAACATATTGTAGGAAAGATTGTATAGCTGTAAATCTTCTAGGAAATCAGTGATTATTCTAGTTTCCTAGTTTAGCTCTAGATTTCCTAGAAGGTTTCCTATTTTCTAGGATTAGTTTCCTATTTTTCTGGGTTTCCTATTCTTTGTACTGGCTATATGAAGCCGTGTAACTATTCAGATTTTAATATGAGGAGTTAAAATATTTTTCCCTCTAAACTTTTA